GATGTAATCCTGTTTAGACAAGGTAAATAACGTGATGGAGACGGATAATTGAGACAGGGTGCTAGTGGTGGTGGTGGTGGTAGTGATGATGATGGTGGTAGTGTTAGTGATGATGATGGTGGTAGTGTTAGTGATGATGATGGTGGTAGTGTTAGTGGGGATGGTGTTAGTAGTGGTGGTTGTAGTGGTGAACGAGTATGTGAGGTGATTAATTCTGATAACAATGAAAACTTATGGAGATGTTCATGAGTGCTGCAAACACGCTCTCTCTCTCTCTCTCTCTCTCTCTCTCTCTCTCTCTCTCTCTCTCAAGCCAGCCCACTCTCAAGGAGGGTGGAGACGGGGAATTTCTCAATATACAAGTGAGCAGCGTTCGTGTATTTGCTCATGACAGCTGGATTTATTTTCTAGGAATCCGCGCGTCAGTTCGTCACCCACTACACTACGCATCATAACACAACACAGCAACCACACCACACAACACAAATCCACACCACACAACACAAATCCACACCACACAACACAAATCCACACCACACTACACAAATCCACACAAATCCACACAACACTACACAAATCCACACAAATCCACACAACACCACACAAATCCACACAAATCCACACAACACCACAAAAATCCACACAACGCCACACCACACAACACAACACAGCGCAACAACACAACACTACACAACACACACACTCTATACCTTTAACCAATCGACATATAATAATCTAACCTAACCTAACCTAACCTAACCTAACCTAACCTAACCATATGGGCAATATTTGAGGATCTTGACCACCAACATACACATCACCAAAACACAAACAAGAAACTGGCAACAGTGTCAGTGCTGCCTCGCGTGACACCTGTACATCAATATCATCATTAATTAACAACATTCAGGTATTATCCTAGCGTGACACCTGTACTGTACATCAATATCATCATTAATTAACAACATTCAGGTATTATCCTAGCGTGATTCTTATTGTTGTTTACTTAACTTGAGACCCTTGTTAATTGCTTTAGTAGTATTATGGTGACAACAGCAGTAAGAGAGGTATTTCACTGACACAGCTTGAGGTGGTAATGTGTTTTCAGTCAGTTAGTAAATGTGTGTGAACGAGAGTGAGTGAGTGAGTTAGTCGGTCAGTCAGTTAGTCAGTGAATGTGTGAATGAGAATGAGTGATTGAGTCAGTGAATCAAGTGAGGGTGATTTATTGAGTGGGTGATTGAGTGAGTGAGTGATTCAGTCAGTCAGTCAGTTAGTGAATGTGTGAATGAGAATGAGTGAGTGAGTCAAGTGAGAGTGAGTGAGTCAGTCAGTCAGTAATGAAGGAGTGAGTGAGTAAATGAAGTTAGTCGATACACAAGACAAACAAACAAGCTTCTACTCCTGGACGAAATAACATCAAACAAAATAAAGCATTATAATACCCCCCCCCCCTCCACTTTTGAACTTATGGTAACACTGTTGGGTTTCCTCTTAAAGTTTTTCTAAGCTGACCTACCGCTGAGAGTCTTTCATCAATGCGGGTCTCTGATTGGTTGATTCTCTCGTGAGTGTAGATCTCTGAGTGGTTGAGGAAGGCCCTGACTATGGCGTCATTGATCAGGGTTTTTTTATTATTGACAGCTTAGGATAATTGTGTGTGTGTGTGTGTGTGTGTGTGTAGTCGACTTATTTAAGACGTTATTACAAACATAAGAGCAAAATGCGCGACTTAAGAAGAATATGAAGAGATAGAGAGAAAACGGGGAGAAAGAGAAGATGGGAGAAGCAAATATAATGGAATGGAAAAGGAGAGAATATGAATAACAAAGACTAAGGGGCAAGAGAAGAAAAGAAGAAGAAGGATGTGAAAGGAAGAGAAAGGCTGTTAGGGAGGAGAGGAGACGCAAGATGAAAGGAGGAGACAGAGAAAAAGAGAGAAAAAAAGAGTGAACAAGTGACCTAGATAGGGAGAGGGAAAGAGAATGAGAAACGGAGAAAGTAGATGGTAAGAGAAAAAGAAGACAAAGATCAATGAAGAAGAGAAGAGAGAAAGAAAGAAAGAGGAAATAACTATGGAAAGTGATAATAATAAGGTAATAATTCTGGAATCTACATATCTAATATACTATAGGACTAGCCGTGTGTCTGTCTGTCTGTCTGTCTGTCTGTCTGTTCTGGGCAGCCGAAACGGCACAATGGTTTTTCATCAAACTTGGTGGAAAAATCGCAAAAAATTCGTAGAGTGGAACAAACCTGGTCCCATGTCGATGGTTTCTTTAGGAAGGCATTAATTAACCATTTTATTTACGATGGAAAACGATGCAAGTCTACGGACTTGGCGCACCCTAATTAACCATCAAGTCTACGGACTTGGCGCACCCTCATTCGCTGTACGCTGTCAGCCGGACGGCGGTTGCGCTAACCAAGCACGAGAGTTCAAACTTTCACCAGGCACAAAGGGCCCGCGATCACTTGTCAGTAACTATAGAAAGTGAAGGTAAAACCAATAATTAATGGTTTTTAAATTGCTTTGGCGCGAAAAGTTTATGTACCAAAGTTTAAGGGGAAAAAAAGCTGTTTTAGCAGGAAAAATTAATAGATTGGGCGCGAAAAATAAAAATACACATTAGATTTAACTAGTGGTGTTTTGGCGGGAAAATTATAGATACACCCTGGTCTTGTTTTGGCGGTAAAATAAAAGTCTCAATATACTGTTTTAGTTTCAGCGAGAAATATATAAATACTTGAGACGTTTTGGCGGGTAAAATTTAAACGATACCTGTTCGAAATATTATGGCGGGAAACTGCAAGATAATATATGAGAAACGTTTCAGAGTGGAGGAAAAAATTATGATGGCGTAATGAGCACCCCCCTCCCCCCACCCATCCCCCCCTCCCCCCGCCAACCCTGACGCTAAC